AAAAAAAATGCAAGACTCCAGATAAAATAGTAAGAATCTTCAGTACAGATGATGTTTAGGAATGTAATAACACCATGGAATCAGGATGAGATCTACTGATGTGACTGTATAGAAATGAGACTCCTCTCTGACAGTATGAAATTTCATCCTTCCATGTATTATACTAATCCTACACCACATAAAACATAATAAAACAAGGTTACCTTTTGAATTGCAATGATTCCTTCCTGTGTGTCTTTGTCAACAGTAATTTTGAAAACTCCCAAGCCATCACCATCCACAATTTTATATTCCATTTCAGCATTAGATCCCACATCAGCATCTGCAGCTTTTATTCTGGCCACCACTGAAGCCACAGGCAAGGACTCTGGAACATTATACTGATATGACCCTGTGAAATTCAAAACAGTCATTAAACTTGGAGTTTTGCATGGTATGTTTCACAAAACACATATGTTAAATAATGAATAGGATGTAAAATCCTCCATTAAATTGCTGAAGGCACCATTGGCTTCCTTTTTTAAGCTTTTGAGATGAAAAATACTGCTTTGTATGCTATAGATATTATTTCTCTCTGTTCCAAATTTGCCCACTAGAATTGAGAAGATGATTTCACAAGGACTATATAAGCATCTTTCCAAAATGTGAAGTCCTAAAATGAATTGTTGCTGCAATGATTCAAGACAATAAGCAAATTTGTCCTTGCTTATTTGCATTTATTTTAGGTTATGTAAAAGAAAGACGGTAAATATATGGGTGAGATCATTGTTTAGTCTTATTTCATGACTGTGGGCATTTTTACACATGCTCTGGAGGTGGGGAGGCACTTTAATTCGAGTGACTTCAAGAGCTGCTCTAATTAAAATGCTGCAGCGTCTCATGTATCAGCATCCCTGCCACTAAAGCCATCAAACTAGCTTTGGTTATGGTGCACTCCCATTAGCATGGTCCAGCAGACTTGATTAATTGACTCTGCTCTGATGTGCTGTAATTACATGAGCCTCCTGGCCCATCTACAGGTATCTTGTATGTCTTGAAGCAGCAGGTGCTAAACTTAGTGGGTCTGAGAGTATGGATTCAGTTCTTGCCCCTAACATAATAAACATAACAGAATCTTTCTTGAAAATTCTAACCTCTTTGTTCAGGTAGAAGGTAATATAAAATGCAGCTAGAAGAGATCTGTGAATGCAGCATGTAGCCAATAACATCACCTCCAGAGATAGATTCACTGTTGTTTTATTATTACCTCGAACAATTGGTGGCAGGAAACCTAATTCACCTTCTCTTTCAGACAGATGTGTTTTTCATATCCACTTGAGATGAAGATAGAATGGACATGCATACATTTTGCACATTATTCTGATTTCCCATAGCAATGACTTTACAGAAACATCATGAGGAGAAAGAAAAGGCATGAGATTAAATGTTATTTGTAAACAGGGTGCCTCAAGTCTGCAAATAGGCTTGTTTCTTTCCTTTTCTCTGTTAAGTCAAGAACCACCTTGGTCAAAGCATGTAAATCAAGGGCAGACAGTATTCAGATTGTTCCAAGACTGATTACTTATGAAACATTGACTTTCTGCACAAGAAAAATCTTGCTGAATTGCCAAAGGAATGTGAAGTGTACAAAAAAGCAAGTTAAGAATTATGCATCCTGAAGTCCAAGAAGTAAAAGCTAAAGATCCGTTACAATGCATATCTTTTATCTTTGACAGGAAGAAAGCAGAAGGCATCCATAAATGTCTGTGCATTTCTTCACTTAAACTGATCCAAAATATATTGGCTAGAGAAAAACAACAATATTTATTCTAAAGTAAAAATAATAAATAAAGAATAATGTCTAGTCCTCAAAGGATTCCAAAGCACTTTACAAAGATGAGGATCATATGCTTAAATTTGAACATGTACATAATTTACAAAACATAAGGACAAGTAGAATAGCAATACACTTCACTAGACTCTGAGCAACTTACTACGTGGAAAGCGGGGTGGGTTATCATTGACATCCATTAATGTGACAGTAACAGATGTGGTCCCAGATAGTCCACCGTTTTGCCCAACCATATCCTTTGCTTGAATGACAAGTAGATATTGGTCCTTAGCTTCCCTATCCATGTTGGGGAGAGCAGTCTTGATAACACCTGGAATATGTCAAACATACTACATCAGTAGTTACACTTATTAATTGGTACAAAGATTAAATTTGTCTTAGAAACAGTATAGGAATAAGACTGAATGGTACAATATCTCCATTTCTAGAACACAGATGTGAAATTCCAGTGCCAAAGGTATCTAGTCTATTTATTTGGCTAAGTTTTTTTATATTGTTACCAACAAATGTGAGAGCTGAGCAAGTTTCATTAAAAAAACGGAAAAAAACCAAGTTCCTAGTGGATTCATGGAGTCTCTGATGCTCCATGTGGAATCCGATTTTACTTTGTGCACTTAAATTACATTTATCCAGAATGTTGGCACCTACACACAGTCTAAAATTTCATTACCCCTGCAATGTGCACATATAAACATAGAGTCATCATATATTGAGCATGCTCAGTAGACTACACACTGGCTGGGTAGCTAAGCATCTATGTACGTGCATACCTGAGTGCAAGTCCCGGAAAGAAACAGGAGGAGTTGACTGTCTCAATATTATTTGAT